TCCCCCAGATGGCTGCAACAGCTGGCATGCTGTGCCAGTCTGAAGCCAGGAGCCAGGTGCTTCCTTCTGGTCTCCCATGTGGGTGCAGGGTCCAAGCACTTGGTCCATCCTTCACTGCCTTCCCAGGCCACAGCAGAGAGGTGGACTGGAAAAGGAACAACTGAGACAGAACCGGTGCCCCAACTGGGACTAGAACCCGGGGTGCCGTGCTGCAGGTGGAGGATTAGCCTAGTGAGCCACGGCGCTGGCCTCATATGCACTTTTAATGCTATTTTTCTGCAAACAGCACATATATTTGCTTTTAGTGCTTGCAAAACATGATTGCATTTCCTTCCTCATGCTGTCATTCCAGTTGTAGTTTCTTCTTTCCTGCACTTGTAATCTGTCTGGCACTTTCTTCTCATCTCAGTCCATCCTATGTGAGGTGATCAGATCAGACTCCTTGGAGAACAGTTTATTTGTTACTCTCTTGTACAAAAGTGGCTAAACAAAAAGCAAAAAAGACATCCTCATACTTAAGAATGAGGTATGCCTCCTAAGTAGTGGTTTAACCTGCTGCACCACAGTTCTCATCCCTGACATTTTATTTGATACTTTTCTGGCATTTTGAATTGTTTTACCTAAATTCATTTGTTAGAGCCAGTGTTGTGATGCATTAGAATAATCTGTTGCCAGTGATGCTGGCATCCCATATGGGCACTGGTTTGCACCTCAGCTGCTCTACTTCCCATCTAGCTCTCTGCCAGTGCATCTGAGAAGCAGCAGACAACCCAAGTTCTTGAGTCCCTGCCACCATGAGGGAGACTTGGATGGAGTTCCAGATCCTGACTTTGATCTGACCCAGTCCCAGCCATTGTGACCATCTGATGGGTGGACCTGCAGATGGGAGATCTCTCCTTCCCTCCTCCCTGTCTCTCCTTCTTTATAACTCTGTCTTCCAAATAAATAAATATTTTAAAAATATTTATTTTTCAATTTTTTTTCTCCCTACCTTCTAGTACACCATCCTCCCATGTGCTGCTCCTCTCTGTGGACTTGTCCTCCTCAGCCTCTGACTACAGCACAGCCACCTCTCCAATGCTGACATCTTCTGACACATGTTTCACTCTTCTGTTCTCTCTAAATTGCAGACTCTGCTTGGACAACCCAACTAACTCTCATGCACACACACCTGAGGACTCTAGAGTCTTGGATTTCAGGTCAGAACTAACTTTCATTTTCAGATGACTGGTGAAAAAACCTGTCTGGAAGCCAGGGTGTAGCCTTGTGGTTCAGATGCCTGTGTCCCACATTGGAGTTTCTGCGTTTGATTCCCAGTTCCATCCTTGACTCCAACTTCCTGATAATGCAGACCCTGGGAGCTAGCAAGTGATGACTCAGATGATTCGGTTTCCTGCTCCTGGGTCAGCCCTGGCCACTGTGGACATTTCAGCAGTGAACTAGAGGGTGAATTCCACTTCTTTGTCTACTTGTTTGTCTCTTTGCATCTCAAATTAAAAAACAAAACAAAAAAAGTATGTCTATATCTTCCATTAAAATAACTTCCTCAATGGCTAAAAGTAGTTTCATTGTTAAAGTTAGCAAAAAAAAAAAAAAAAGCTTCTTGGTTGTAAATGATATTTGAATAATGTATAACTGTAAATCAGGTTTCCATAGTGGATAAGGAAGAGAAAGATAAGAGCAATAATTTTTACTTCTGGCTTTGGTGCTTCTTTGTCACGTAACTGTGAAAAATTCATTTAAACTCATGGAGCCCAAGTTGAGTATTTTTAAAATTATAGGCTCATCTAGTTGAGGCAAGTGGCATAAAGCTGAGAGGCTTCCTTGTTTCTAAGCCAAAAGAGCTAAGTGACATTTGAAAGTTATTTTACCCCTCTGGTTCTTTCTCCCTTGTGCAATAAGAAGATTGTCTTTATATTTAAAGGATTTATTCTACACAGTGCTATCTTATGGTAAGGTTTGTGTGACTGTCAGGTCTTCTATAATTCTACTGTATTATTAGCAGTTGGAACTGAAGATGAAATGCTAAACATAGAACTGCTAGGACTGGGGCCCATGCTGTGGCACAGTGGGTTAACGCCCTGGCCTGAAGCACCAGCATCCCATATGGGTGCCAGTTCAAGACCTGGTTGCTCCACTTCTGATCCAGCTCTCTGCTGTGGCCTGGGAAAGAATTAGAAGATGGTCAAAGTCCTTGGGCTCCTGTACCCACATGGGAGACCCGGAAGAAGCACCTGGCTTCATACCAGCACAGCTCTGGCCCTTGCGGCCAATTGTGGAGTGAACCACCAGATGGAAAACCTCTCTCTCTCTGCCTCTCCTCTCTCTGCAACTCAGACTTACAAATAAATAAAGAAATAATAAAATAAAATAAAAGAACTGCTAGGGCTTGTAGTTCTATTAGGACCAACAGAAAAACATTTGAGTTCATGGGAATTTTAAAAGTTAAAAGAGAAACACTGAATTACTGTTCATAATCAGTATAGTTACTAAAATTCTTAATTATAATTACTGAGTATTGGTAATATAATTACTTTTTTTAAAGATTTTATTTATTTATTAGACAGATAGAGTTAGAAACAGAGAGAAAGATCTTCCTTCTGTTGGTTCACTCCCCAAATGGCCACAACAGCCAGAGCTACACTGATCCAAGGCCAGAAGCCAGGTGCTTCTTCCCAGTCTCCCATGTGGGTACAGGGGCCCAAGCACTTGGGTCAACCTCCACTGCCTTCCTAGGCCACAGCAGAGAGCTGGACTGGAAGAGGAGCAACCAGGACTAGAACTGGCATCCATATAGGATGCCAGCACCACAGGTGGAGGATTAAACAGTGTGCGACGGCACCAGCCTCAGTAGTGTAATTACTGATAGTATACGCCTAGTATTGTATATTTTAGTTTACACGATACTTAGATTAGATAAAAATACAGGTAGCAATAGTTATTGCTTCTCTTACTTTTCCTGGATTGGCTCATAGCCCATGTGAATAAACCTTATTTTTTTTAAAGGTTTATTTATTTGAAGGAGTTACAGAGAGAGACACATAGAGAGATGTTCCGTTTGCTGGTTTACTCCCCAAGTGGCTGCAAAAAGCTAGAGCTGGGCTGATCCAAAGCCAGCAGCTTCTTCCATGTCTCCCACATGGATTCAGGGTCCCAAGTATTTGGGCCATCTTCTGCTGCTTTCCAAGGCATGTTAGCAGGGAGCTAGATTAGAAGCGGAGCAGCTAGGACATGAACCAGTGCCCATATGGGATGCCAGCACTGCAGGTGGCAACTTTACCTGATATGCCATGGCACCAGCTCTAGCCTTTTCATTTTAAATTAATAACTAAAGTGATTGTCCACTGTTCAGCCTCCTGGCTTTGGCCTGGCCCAGCCTCTGCTGTTGTGGACATTTGGGGACTGAACCAGAGGTTGAAAGATCTCTCTTCTTCTGTCTCTCCTTCTCTAACTCTGCCATTCAAATAAATAAATCTTTGAAATATATACGTATATGGGCCCTGCAATGTAGCACAGTGGGTAAAGCCACTATACTGCCTGCTGTGCCAGCATCCCATATGGGTGCTGGTTCAAATCCTGGCTGATCCACTTCCAATCCAGCTCCCAGATAATGTGCCTGGGAAAGCATCCGAAGACTGCCCAAGTGCTTGAGCCCCTGTATCCTGTGGGAGACCTGGAAGAAGCTCCTGGCTCCTGGCTTTGGATTGGCTCAGCTCAGGCCATTGTGATCATTTGGGGAGTGAACCAGTAGATGGAAGGTCTGTCTCTACCCCCTCTCTGTAATTCTGCCTTTCAAATAAATCAGTTTTAAAAATGAGGGGGGAAAGTGCACTTTTGTTGCCTTCCTCATTACCTAGAGTAACATAATCAAAATTTGTTAAGCAAGTGAAGGCAAATGAATAAGGGAAATTCTGAGATCATGTGTTGACCATAGAAGAGAACAGTTTCCATGTATGTCTTCTGGAAGCCCATGTGAGTTGGAACCAAAGAAAAGATGACAAAAAAAAGGGAGGCCCATATTCCCCATTTGTCTTCTCCCTTCATTGGAGCAGTGGAGAGTTGAGTAATGTAACATTGGTGTTTGTCTCCATACAGTTCACTTCTATATAGCTGGTTCTTAATCCTCAAGAAGGGATTTAGGTCAATGTTCTATTCTCATCAATGACCCTGATGTTTAATAAAAGATTCTGTTAGTAGTTTTAACCCCAGGTGATTCTAATGATGTGCTGTGACTTAGGTTTAGAAAAGAGCATCTTCCTTGCCACCCTCATCTCAGCTCTGGGGCTGTCAGTTCTCCCTGCACAGACACAGTAATGCACACTTCTTCTCTACTACAAAGATCTTCCCTTTGTTTTGGTCAAAGTTCCAGTTATAAAAATCAAATCAACTCACACCTGGACTCTAAGTATTCAATGACATTATTTATTGAAATAAATGTATTAAAATATTTAAAGACCACTTCAAAACTTAACTGCCTTCAAGAGATTTTGGCACTTATAATAGACACTGTGGTTTTATACACATGAGCACTCACTATTTTATATACCATTTAACAATTCAAACATCATTTCAGGTAAAGCAATACACAACAATAGCGTGGATGAAATGGAGTCACAAGAATTTTAGTACTCTTCTACACAGTAAACATGTTATGTTAGTTGGGACTCAAATCCTAAAACTAAAACCACTATATGGTGACATGAACTGATTTAAGGACAGATGTACAGCTAGGTAGCTAAGGTCACATAATCCCAGACCTATTGATTTTACATGAGTTTAGACCAACAGCATTCCATTCCATTATCTCCCATCTCACAGTCCTGCTTTTCCAGTGAGACCCAGCCCACTCAGACTATGTATTTATTGCCTGAGTCTGTACAGTGGTGGAAGCTGTTCTGATACAAACTTCTCTTAGACAGTGACCAGCTTCCTGATTCACTACCTAGCTTGGAATCAATAGTTCTGAGGGAACTGAATTGAATGTCATTCTCTTTGGCAGTCACAGACTTCTGTTTTAGGAAACAGAATATGTCCTCTACTCTGGGGCTCCCTTTTTCTCATCAACGATGGGGCTTTGTGGTGCTCTGTGGTTTTTCACACAAGTCGTACTAGAACTCTGACTCCAAACAACAGGGATTAGAGTTCTTCCTGCGGCTGGTGCTGTGGCATAGCAAGTTACACTGCTGCCTGCAGCACTAGCCTCCCATATGGATGCTGGTTTGAGTCCCAGCTGCTCCACTTCTTACCCAGCTCCCTGCTGGGTAAAGCACCTGGTCCTCTGTCCCTACATGAGAGACCTGGAGGAAGCTCCTGGCTTCAGTCTGGCCCAGCCCTGGCTACTGTGGCCATTTAGGGAGTGAACTAACAGATGAAGACCTCTCTCTGTCTCTCCCTCTTTTTCTCTGTAACTCTGCCTTTCAAATAAGTAAAACATCATGCTGTACACCCTTTTCAGGCAGTTGTATAGCAAGGAGTTGTAGCTTCTTGTATATTTTGGATAATAAGAGTTTTGGTTTGAAAGCATGTTCATCTGAAACAAAGAAGATCACTCATTATCCTTTGTCAGAGAACGGAGCTCTGCTCTTTGAAAGTGAAAATCAGAAGCTGTAACGTGTGATGAGCTCCACCTGCCAGGTCTGGGGATACTTAGTTGAAAGCTAAGACACCAGGGAAGTTTTCAGATTCCCTGACCCTTGCTTTAATCTTATGTTTTTACTTCTTTTGCTGCTTCTCAGTGCCAAGGGTGTACACTTTACGCTGAAATGGGGAACTTTGTCTTACCTCTTTTGGGACTTTTTCTTAGACTGTATATATTTGCCTTGGTTTTAAGTATAGCTTCTGGGTGGGTGGATTTTTTGGAAGTTTTCACAAGCCATCCAGAAGCATATATTTTCTTTACAGAATTCAGTTTTTTAAAAAAGACTTAAATACAGCTAGACCATCTGTAGGGAGGGAAGAGAAGGTAGAAAAAAAAAGCATGTGAAATATGAGGAACCGAATGATCAAATAATCCCTTTTGCTTTTCTAGTACTAGGATTAGTTATTCTCTTGTTTTTACTCAAACCTGTAATCCTGAGGATTTAGCCCTTTAAAGATAAAGATGCCAGTAGGCAAAATACTTAAGTTGGTGTCATACTACTAAAACAGAAATACTTCAGTTTTTAATGCCAAAAATGTATCTACAGGAGAGGCATAAATCCTCAGGGAACTAAGTCTCTTGCAAACATTGCATGCAATGAAAAGCATCCTTAGCCTCAACCAAGAGAACTGCCATTGCAGTGCTGAAGGGTGATTTATCTTCCCCACCTGGGGTGAATATGCTGAGAAATAAAGGGAAATAAGCAGACCTTCTAAGTCAAGTAGAATTCTCCTTGGTGAGCTGCTCATTTGAGGACACAGCCTTTCTACACTCTGGTGAATTAAATTAAAGACTAATTCACATTTGCTGGCCAGAAGCTCCTGGAATGCTTCTGACCACAGCAGTGCTTCCATCAGGGAAGGTCTGCAAGAGCAGTTCCACAATTACTGGTGCACAGAGCAGGTCCCTTCACCAGCTCAGCTGTGAGCTGTTCAAACACAGGAATCTCAACTTACTTGATGAAAGTTTGCCATCTGCTTTTCTTGCTGATTTTGGCCTTCCCAGGAGTGGTGGAATTTTGCAATGAGTAGCTCAATCCTGTCTTCAATCTTAAAAAAAAAAAAAGACATTTCACTAAATGACCATCCTTGAATACACTACTGAGCCTGAATGCATTTTTACCAAATAAAGTCACCCAGTATCTACAAACAAACCAAATGAGATAAACCAAAAGCCAATAGCAGGCTTACCCACCTAATATTTAAACTGAGCCCCGAAGTACTGAGCAGTTTCATCAATTCCTCAGAATGTAACTACTGCTGCGAGGACTAAAGATAGGACTGCCCAAATTTTAATTTTCAATACACTGCACAGCTAATAAAGCAGATGCTGTCTCTGGCCCACAAAAGGTGACAATTTCTCTGCAAGGTTAACCACAATTGGGAGACATTTCATACCTGATGGAACCTGCAGCGGGACTGCCTTGAGCCGGCTTCTCTGCTTGCCTTTCACCCTCGGTCCTGGACGGGCCAGAGACCATGCACAGGAGGTACCACCGGTCACCCGTTCCCCCCGTCCACCCACAATGCTCCTGGGAGGCAGATGCCACAGAACAGTGATTTGTTCCATGGTTGTCACTGTGTGAGATCAGCCCATCTTCAGAAAATGGCCATGGACTCGAAGGAGATATCCAACCGCAGAAGCACTGCCCCCAGCAGCAGTGCAGCAGGGTGGATGACCCAAGGCACAGCATGGCCAGGATCTCTAGGGACCCCGCAGGACTCTGCTGCCCTGGATGCCTACAGTAGGTGGCTGCACGAGGGCCCAGTGTGCCTCTATCACCCTCCTACCAAGCCCTTCCTGGGTGTCTGCCCTTGCAGACCACATAGCTACAGCGTCAGTGAGCAAATCAGCACCACACGCTTGGTTTTCCTGCTGAGACTCGGCCTTCATTGCTTCCCCAAATGCCTCATGTGCTGCAAGCCTCAGCCAGCAGGGCTGGTGGGAGAGGCAGGTGGTCGCACTCACTGGGTATGTCTTGTCTTCTCATGCCCCTCCTGGCTCTCGGGGCCGCTACCTGCCTTCTTGTCCCAAGGTCTGAAATCGAGCTCAAGGGCCAAGAACCTAACACCACCCACATCACCTGCACACATCTCAACTACCAGCTACCCGCCAATGACCACCGCCTTTATAGCCAGCCCATTGTGAGGCGGGTCTGGCAGCACTGGTCCTGCCCCAGGGCAGCCAGGATTGGACCGAGGCCTCTGGCCAGGCCGAGCCTGAGCCAGCCTGCAGCAGATTCTGGAAGCAAAGGAGCTGCTGATGGCTGAGGTCCAGCTCAGAGCGCACTCAGAGAGATGCCACGCCCAGCAGGGGCACTGAGGGCCGTGGACTTTCCCAGGCTGCAATCCTGGGGCAGAGGTTGGCTTGGTCCTTCTTCCCCCAGCCCTGCCCGCAAGTGGAGTGGGGTTCCCATGGGGTGGCTTCCTTCATGGGAGGGCAGGCAAACCCCGAACTCCACAATTCCGGGTGCTGGCCTGCAGCCTTCTGGGAGAGAGTAGGATACTTTGTTGGGAGGCAGTACCCCAACTGGGCCTGCTTTTTGGGTCAGTTCTGGATGTGCGTCTGTGTGTGCGTGGACCTGCTGAGCTGCTGCTTGCCTCCTGGCACCCCTGAGCTCCCCGCAGGAAGCACCAGGCTCTTTGGAGCCTTTCAGAGCAAGGAGTCGAGGTCACCTCCTGAGTCAATCCTGGTCTGCTTGGGATTTGCCAGAACCCTGAATTAGGGGTGTGGTGGATATGGTAGTGGTTGGCTTCAATGCACATTATTTGTGAATTCTTCAAACACAGCTTCTCCCTACTCCTGCAGGTTTTAAGGTGATTGATGAGGACAGAGTCCCTGAGCTGCGAAGTGACTGAATTTTGGAAACTACGTCCAGAACTCCACAGTGTGTATTCAAGTGCTCTTCCCTCAGGCCTGCAGGTGGACAGCAAGAGCAACAATAAGATTAAGTACTCTAGGTACTCTCCTTTCTTTCCAGTAGACCCACCAAAAGAGAATGGGAGAGATGTGCTTGAACATTGGAACCAGTCAGCATGCTAGGGTGAGCTGCCAGTACTTGGAGCTCAAGAGTGGATGTGAAGAGCAAAACCTGCATTGTTACTAAAGAGAACAGTTAGGTATTTTACTGTGAGAAGGGAAATCATTCAGATGTGAGCAAGACACCTTAAGAAAAGGTCTGTATATTTATTTTTGTTTATTTGAAAGGCAGAAAGATCCCTTCCATTTATTGCTCATTCCGCAAATCTCTGCGATAACCAGGGCTCGGTCAGGCTGAAGCCAGGAATTCAATGTAGGTCTCCCACATAAGTGGCAGGGACTCAAGTACTTGAGCCATCAGCTGCTGCCTCCCAGGGTTATGTTAGCAGGAAGCTAGAAGCAGAAGCAGGGCTAGGACTTTAGACGTGGGCATTCTGATTGGGATGTGGAAGGCTTTACCATTATGTGAAACACATGCTCCAGTAAGGTGTTTCAACACATTTGCAAAATGTAAGAATGTGTTTTTAGATATATGCTCTTCATCTTAAAAAAATTGTATAATCTTATATTCAGTTTCATGGGATTCAATACTTATTATTAAATACGAGTAACATTTAGACACATGCTTTACTCACCAATACAAACCTCAGTAATTTTTTCACTTAGAACCTTGAATATTAGCATTCATTCAGACTGAAGTTCACTCATAGGCTGAGAATTCTGACAATGAGACAGTAGGGAGAAAAATCTAGATGTGTATCTGAGACCTAATTAGATTCTTAACCTGACCATTAGAATCTGAGTAACTGTTGGGAGAGTCACTAAAACCTCTCCCCTCTGTAATGAGGAGACTATGACATTTGGCCACTTTCACATGATATTATGTATATCTTATGTGAAAAGTCTTTTATAAATTCTGAAGTACCATACAGAAGCTTATTATGCATTTCCATATGTGTGAAAAAGGCAATGTCAAAGGCATAGCTATTCCAGAGAGAAGTTAAGAGGATTAGCTCAGTTTATAATTGTGTAAGTACCATTAAATATCAACATACTTGGAACAGATTTATAGAATATGAATTTCATGATAGATATTTAATAAATGCACTCTGGATAATAAGCAAATATCAGAAATAATGCCACACCCATCAGCGTTTAAACTCTTCAGACAGCTCCATGCCATGGAAGTGCAATGATCCCCGTAAATTAACAAAAGTCAATCTGCGTATATCCATGGAAGCAACTGGTTTAAATGTGGGCTATACTAGAGGATTTTGTGCTTAGTAAAATTATTTGATTTCTTTCATGAATGCTTTCAGAGTGATAACTGATGATGAGTGGCAAACAGTTTTTTCTGAAAAATATCTGATTGAGAAATATAAATATGTCAGTTTATAATTTTTGTGTCTGAATATTTTTGTTTTTGTTTTTTTGACAGGCAGAGTGGACAGTGAGAGACAGAGAGACAGAGATAAAGTTCTTCCTTTTGCCATTGGTTCACCCTCCAATGGCCACCGCGGCTGGAACACTGCAGCCAGCGCATCGCACTGATCCGAAGCCAGGAGCCAGGTGCTTCTCCTGGTCTCCCATGAGGGTGCAGGGCCGAAGGACTTGGGTCATCCTCCACTACTCCCGGGCCAGAGCAGAGAGCTAGCCTGGAAGAGGGGCAACCGGGACAGAATCTGGCACCCTGACCGGGACTAGAACCCGGTGTGCTGGAGCCGCAAGGCAGAGGATTAGCCTATTGTGCCACGGTGCCGGCCTTTGTCTAAATATTTTTTTTAACTTTTATTTAATGAATATAAATTTCCAAAGTACGGCTTATGGATTACAATGGCTTCCCCCCCCATAATGTCCCTCCCACCTGCAACCCTCCCCTCTCCCACTCCCTCTCCCCTTCCATTCACATCAACATTCATTTTCGATTCTCTTTATATACAGAAGATCAGTTTAGCATACATTAAGTAAAGATTTCAACAGTTTGCTCCCACACAGAAACATAAAGTGAAAAATAATAGATGATTTTTTAAATGATGATGAAATCAGATCAGACCTATTGTCATGTTTAATCCCAGTGAGAGTCAAGTTGGGAGTTGATAATTTCTTCTTTTTTTTTTTTTTTTACAGAGGATCAGTTTAGTATACATTAGGTAAAGATTTCAACAGTTTGCACCCCCATAGAAACACAAAGCGAAATATACTGTTTGAGTACTCATTATAGCATTAAGTCTCAATGTACAGCACATTAAGGACAGAGATCCTACATGAGGAGTAAGTGCCCAGTGACTCCTGTTGTTGACTTTACAAATTGACACTCCTGTTTATGGCATCAGTAATCTCCCTATGATCCAGTCATGAGTTTCCAAGGCTATGGAAGCCTTTTGAGTTCTCTGACTCTTATCTAGTTTAGACAAGGTCATAGTCAAAGTGGAGGTTCTCTCCTCCCTTCAGAGAAAGGTACCTCCTTCTTTGAAGACCTGTTCTTTCCACTGGGATCTCACTCACAGAGATCTTTCATTTAGGGTTTTTTTTTGTTGTTTTTTTGTTTTGTTTTGTTTTGTTTTGTTTTGTTTTGCCAGAGTGTCTTGGCTTTCCATGCCTGAAATACTCTCATGGGCTTTTCAGCCAGATCCGAATGCCTTTAGGGCTGATTCTGAGGCCAGAGTGCTGTTTAGGACATCTGCCATTCTATGAGTCTGCTGAGTATCTCACTTCCCATGTTGGATCACTCTCCCCTTTATTTATTCTATCAGTTAGTATTAGCAGGTACTAGACTTGTTTATGTGCTCCCTTTGACTCTTAGTCCTTTCATTATGATCAATTGTGAACAGAAATTGATCACTTGGACTAGTGAGATGGCATTGGTACATGCCACCTTGATGGGATGGAATTGGAGTCCCCTGGTATGTTTCTAACTCTACCATTTGGGGCAAGTCAACTTGAGCATGTCCCAAATTGTACATCTCTTCCCTCTCTTATTCCCACTCTTACGTTTAACAGGGATCACATTTCAGTTAATTTTCAACACTTAAGAATAACTGTGTGATAATTACAGAATTAAACCATTCATATTAAGTAGAACAGACAAAAAAACTACTAAGAGGGATAATGTATTAAGTTGTTCATTAACAGTCAGGGCTATGCTGATCAAGTCACTACTTCTCATAGTGTCCAGTTCACTTCAGGAGGTTTCCTTTTTGGTGTTCAGTCAGTTGTCACCGATCAGGGAGAACATATGGTATTTGTCCCTGTGGGACTGGCTTATTTCACTCAGCATGATGTGTTCCAGATTCCTCCATTTTGTTGCAAATGACTGGATTTCATTGTTTCTTACTGCGGTATAGTATTCTAAAGAGTACATATCCCATAATTTCTTTATCCAGTCTACTGTTGATGGGCATTTAGGTTGGTTCCAGGTCTTGGCTATTGTGAATTGTGCTGCAAAAAACACTAATGTGCAGACCGCTTGTTTGTTTGCCAATTTAAATTCCTTTGGGTAAATTCCAAGGAGTGGGATGGCTGGGTTGTATGGTAGGGTTATCTTCAGGTTTCTGAGG